GGAGGAGGGAAATGATCGATGACAGTGAGGAAATAAGCACAGCATTAAACAGCTACTTTTTATCAGTTTTCACAGAAGAAATTCATGAGGAAATTGCAGAGGTGGAACTGATATTTAGGAGAAATGAAAAAGATAAATTAAAGAATATCACTATCAGAAAAGATGTTCTAAAGAAAATAAATAAATTAAAGTAGACAAAATACCCAAGGCCGAATGAAATTTTCCCTCGAGTTTTGAAAGAGTGTAAGGAACAGATTAGTGGACCCATCGTAAATTTATTTAAAAGATCATTAGAGACGGGAGTTGTGCCAGACTTGTGGAAGCAGGCAAATGTAGTACCCATATTCAAAAAGGGAGACAGAGCATCAGCGTCAAATTACTGACCGATTAGTTTGACGTCAATAGTGGGGAAATTTCTTGAATCAATTATAGCAAATAGCATCCGATCGCATTTAGAGAAAAGCAAATTAATCTACGATTCTCAACATGGGTTTACAAATGGAAAATCTTGTCTAACAAATCTGCTGACGTTATTTAGTAAAGGGTTCGAGGTAGTAGATAATGATGAAAATTTCGAAGTTATTTACTTAGACTTTAGCAAAGCGTTTGACAGAGTACCGCATCGGAGGCTTCTGAGAAAAGTTAAGGCTCATGGTATCGAGGGGAAAGTTTTAAATTGGATAAAATCATGGTTCACCGGTAGAACACAGAGGGTCAGTGTAGTTGGTGTTAAATCTGAGTGGGGTTATGTAACCAGTGGGGTTCCCCAGGGGTCAGTACTGGGCCCACTCTTGTTCATAATCTACATAAACCATCTAGATACTGGGATCAGCAGTGACATAAGCAAGTTTGCGGATGACACCAAAATAGGGCGGCAGATTAATTCAGGGCAGGATACAAATGCACTACAGGAGAATTTAAATAAACTGCACGATTCGTCAGAAAAATGGCAAATTAAATTCAACACCAGCAAGTGCAGCGTACTTAATATTGGAAGAACAAATACTGTCAATGTATACAGCCTTAACAACATCAACCTAGAGATGTCGACTTGTGAAAGAGACTTAGGGGTACTTATAAGCCCTGACCTACGGCCCAGAAAACAGTGAGTTAATGTTCGAAATAAGGCAACAGAGTATTAGGTTTTATATCTAGAAGTGTAAGTAATAAGAGTGCAGAGGTCTTATTGCAACTATATCTTGTGCTAGTCAGACCGCACCTCGATTATGCGGTTCAGTTCTGGTGTCCTTATTATAGAATGGATATCAATTCACTGGAGTCGGTGCAGCGAAGAATGACGAAAATGATTCCGGGACTTGGAAGCCTTCCATATCAAGGAAGGTTAAAGAAACTAAACTTGCATTCCCTAGAAAGACGAAGAGTGCGGGGAGATATGATAGAAGTATTTAAGTTGGTGAAAGGAATCAATAAAGGCGATATCGCTAAAGTTCTTATAATATCCTAGTAGGATAGGACTCGTAGCAACGATTTAGGTTGGATAAGTTTACGTTTTGGAGGGAGATAGGAAGGAACTGTTTCCCAAATAGGGTGGTGGACGAGTGGAACAAACTTAGCAATTTTGTAGTAAGTGGTGGAACGCTGGGAAGCCTTAAAAGGAGGCTAGATAGATTCATGGATGATAGAGAGTGGTTGTAACTCTCGACAGGAGCTGCCATGCACAGGCCAACCGGCCTATTGCAGACTCCTTATTTTCTTATGTTCTTATGTATATCAGCCTCACAATAATACTGAGATGGGTAGGTCACCACAACATTACTGCTGTAGCGGTTATGTCTCTCACATTATTAGTGATGCGGGTATGTCACCCCTACAGTATCTACTGAAACGGGTATGTCACTCTCACATTAATACTGAGGCGGGTAGGCCACTCTCAGTCTATGACTGTGGCGGGTATGTTTCTCACATAAGTACTGAACCGGGAAAGTCACTCTGATATTAATACTGAAGCGTATAGGTCACTCATATTATTATTGAAGCGGGTACGTCACCGTCACATTACTACTAAGGCGGGTAGGTTACTCCTACTTTATTACTTAAGCGGGTAGGTCACTCACAATACTAATATTTCGTGGAGGTCACTTTTATATTACTACTGATGCGGGTAGGTCACTCTCACATTATTACTGAGGCGGGGAGGATCACTTTCACATTACTAATAAGTAGGGTAGGTCACTCTCACATTGCTAGAAAAGCGGGTAGGTCACTTTCACAATACTCCTGAGGAGGGTAGGTCACTCTCACATTATTACTGAGGCGGGTAGGTCACTCTCATATCTTATTACTGAGGTTGGTTGGTTACTTTCACATTACTAATAAGCGGGTAAGTTACTCTTATATTACTACTGTGGCGGGTAGGTCACTCTAACATTACTACTGAGGTGGGTAGATCACTCTCATATTGCTAGCAAAGCGGGTAGGTCACTGCCGAATAATTATTGAGGTAGGCAGGTCACTCTCACAACACTATTGAGTTGGTTAGGTCAATCTCGCATTATTCCTGAGGCGGGTAGATCACTCTCACATTATTACTGCGGCGGGTAGGTCACTCTTAATATTAGTAAGGCGGGTAGGTCACTCTTAATATTAGTAAGGGCGGTAGGTTACTCACATTATTACTGAGGCGGGTGGGTCACTCATATTATTACTGAGGCGGGTAGGTCACTCATATTATTAGTAAGGTGGGTAGGTTACTCACATTATTAATGAGGCGGAGTTCACCATATTATTACTGAGGCGGGTAGATCACTCATATTATTAGAAAGGTGGGTAGGTTACTCACATTATTACTGAGGCGGGTAGGTCACTCATATTATTAGTAAGACGGGTAGGTTACTCACATTATTACTGACGCGGGTAGGTCACTCACATTATTCCTGGAGGCGGGTAGATCACTCATATTATTAGTAAGGTGGGTAGGTTACTCACATTATTACTGAGGCGGGTAGATCACTCATATTATTAGTAAGGTGGGTAGGTTACTCACACATTATTACTGAGGGGTAGGTCACCATTATTCCTGAGGCGGGTAGGTCACTCATATTATTAGTAAGGCGGGTAGGTTACTCCTAGCATTATTACTGAGTCGGGTAGGTAAATCATATTATTTATAAGGCGGGTAGGTTACTCACATTATTCCTGTGGCGGTTAGGTAACTCACATTATTAGTAAGGCGGGTAGGTTACTCACATTATTCCTGAGGCAGGTAGGTCAATCATATTATTAGTAAGGCGGGTAGGTTACTCACATTATTCCTGAGGCGGGTAGGTCACTCATATTATTACTGATGCGGGTAGGTCACTCATATTATTAGTAAGGCGGGTAGGTCACTCACATTATTCCTGGAGGCGGGTAGGTCAATCATATTATTAGTAAGGCGGGTGGGTTACTCACATTATTACTGAGTCGGTAGGTTACTCACATTATTCCTGAGGCGGGAGGTCATTATTCCTGAGGCGGTAGGTCACCATATTATTAGTAAGGCGGGTAGGTTACTCACATTATTACTGAGGCGGGTAGGTCACTCATATTATTAGTAAGGCTGGTAGGTTACTCACATTATTCCTGAGGCGGTAGGTCACTCATATTATTAGTAAGGCGGGTAGGTTACTCACACATTATTCCTGAGGCGGGAAGGTCACTCATATTATTAGTAAAGCGGGTAGGTTACTCACATTATTATGTGGGTCACTCATATTATTAGTAAGGCGGGTAGGTTACCACATTATTCCTGAGGCGGGTAGGTCACTCATATTATTAGTAAGGCGGGTAGTCACTCACATTATTACTGAAGGCATTATTCCTGAGGCGGGTAGGTCACTCACATTATTCCTGAGGCGGGTAGGTCACATATTATTGGTAAGGCGGGTAGGTCACATTATTCCTGAGGCTAGGTCACTCATATTATTACCTCACTCATATTATTATTAAGGCGGGTAGGTTACTCACATTATTGCTGACGGGTGGTCCACATTATTCCTGAGGCGGGTAGGTCAATATATTATTGGTAAGGCGGGTAGGTCACTTACATTATTCCTGAGGCGGGTAGGTCACCATATTATTACTGAGGCGGGTAGGTCACTCATATTATTATTAAGGCAGGTAGGTTACTCACATTATTGCTGAGGCGGGTAGGTCTCATATTATTAGTAAGGCTCACTCACATTATTCCTGAGGCGGGTTAACATATATTAGTAAGGCGGGTGGAGTCACATTATTACTGAGGCGGGTAGGTCGCTCATATTTTTAGTAAGGCGGGTAGGTGCTCACATTATTACTAGGTCACTCATATTATTAGTAAGGCGGGTAGGTTGCTCACATTATTACTGAGTCGGGTAGGTTACTCACATTATTCCTGAGGCGGGTAGGTCACTCACATTATTCCTGAGGCGGGTCGGTCACTCATATTATTAGTAAGGCGGGTAGGTTACTCACATTATTCATGAGGCGGGTAGGTCAATCATATTATTAGTAAGGCGGGTAGGTCACTCTCGCATTATTACTGAGGTCACTCACATTATTTGTAAGGCGGGTAGGTCACTCTCGCATTATTACTGAGGTCACTCATATTATTAGTAAGGCGGGTAGGTTACTCACATTACTATTGAGGCGGGCTGGACACTTTAACATTATTACTGTGGCGGGTAGGTCACTGACACTTTATTATTGAGGTGGGAACGTCAGTGTGATGCTACTACTGGGTAGGGTAGGTCACATAATTACTGAGAGGGGTAGGTCACTCTCATATTACTACTGAGGCAAGTAGGTCACTGTCACATTTCTAATGAGGAGAGTAGGTCACTCTCTAATACGGAGGCGGGTAAGTCAGTCACATAGTTATTGAGGCGGGTAGGTAACTCACTTTACTATTGAGGTGGATAGGTCACTGTCCAATTACTATTGATGTGGGTAGGTCACTCTAACATTACTGCTGAGGTGGGTAGGTCACTCTCACATTACCTCTACCATGTTTACGTCACCAGCTGCGGCAGGTGTCATGGTGCGTGACGGTGGTGGTGGTGAGCGACGACCCAGCCTTCCTCGCCGCCTTCGCCGAGTGGTCCCTCAAGGGCCGGCTTCTGGTGTGGTCGACGAGGCTCCTTGCTGTCACCTGCCTACCCCTGTCAGAGGTGGGTGACCTCCTAACCTCCCACTGGACCTTCTCCATGATGAACACCATGTTGATTATTTTGGAAGATATGTTGAGGCAACCCAGGTAAATATTTTTGTAGTACCGTAACTGACTTTGGTGTTGTCTTAAGAACATTGCCTACAAGTATCCTCTTATCAAAGTAAATGGATTTATGCTTAAGAGCAAATAATGCTAAGAATATTGTCCTTTTCATGATAATAGTTGCAGGTGAAAAAATTGAACTTTCATTAATAATACACATACAGTACGTCCGTTTTGGCTTGACGCAATAACAGAACAATATATTTACTTCAAGATTCAGCGTGTATGTAAACCTTCCTTACACCGCCTCAGGAGCCACTTTAGTCCGTGCTGCGTTGTGGATGACAAAGCGTGGCCTCGTGCTGATAAAAGGCCTTAAATTGTTCTCAGAGAAATTCATCAAGTATGTGTACAGTATATTACACAGTAGGGTGTGTCATACGGAGGCGAATTTTTTTATTTTTAGTTTGAAAAATCGGCCCATGGTATTAATGATGTAGTTCTATGTGCAGAATCATGTGATATCTTCAGATTTGAAAAGTTTTCATTTTTTGCTAGGTAAATTTTAACTTGAAATCTTATGAAAATTCAGTATTCCCACCCCTTTACCAACACCACTAAATAGCTTATTTAAAGTAAAGTAAATGTATCAGGTTAATTTATTAGGATGAAAATGATCCAGAATAGTGAAACGAATGATCTTGACACATTTATTAAATTTAATATTCCTTTAGAAATCAAAATCATCAAATACAAAAACCGGTTTTACTACTACGACCCGGTGTTGCTGCACACCATAGAGAACATGTCTTTCTTGCTTCTGTTTCTACTCATCACCTCCCTGCTGACCACCTGAGCTCGGATGTAGCCTTCCCTCCTCTCCTGGCTGTACACGTGACTGCTGGCCTCGCTCACTTGCTGTACACAACTAACTATACTCTGGGTGTGCGAGGGCCAGACAGGGACATGCATGGGGCTGTCCAGGAAAGCTCTGACTTGAACATTGGTGAGGCTGCAGGTAAGAGGGGGCTCACTGCCAGCCTGGATGTTATCCAGATCTATGAGATCAGTGAGGGTCTTGGCACCTAGATTGACTTCAGGAGTCTTCCTGACCCTGAAGGAATCGTCACCAACTGATTCGTCATGCCCAGATCCTCTCATAAGTCTCATATCCAAGATCTTTTTGACTGCCACTCTTCTCTCCTCCTCATCGTTACTGCAGAGCATTGTCTGCAGAACTGCCTCGGGATGAGCATACCAGGAAGATCTCCTCACAGTCTGCTCCACAATCTGAACAACCTTCCTTGGCTGACTCCTCAGGAGCTCAAGCTGGAAGAGAACATGCCTCGGACCTTCGGAGAACGATGACTTGACCTTGGTGTTGAACTAATTTGGCAAGTAGACACTCACGATGAATTGGATAAGTCTCAGGTTGTGAAGCTGGTTCCCTTTCAGTTTATGATGAGCGACCCAAATTCTGCAGAACCTGAGAGCCGTTGTGAGCCACCTACTGTAGAATGTGAAACTGGACCTATCTGCAGGTAAGCAAGTCTATCAGGCATGACCCCAGTTTTGATGGCACTGCAAATCATGTAACCATAGTACTGGTCAGTACTCAGGTCGTCAATGACAGTATGTGCAAGCTCAACGAGTGGAGGGCCAACTGTGATTTTTCAAAGCTCGGATTTATTTCTAACTCAGTGGCAGAGTCAGCATCTTGCCAAGAGGACCAGACCATCTGTTGTTTGAAAGAGTCTTGCCATCCAGCTCCTGGATCAGATGTCTGAGTGGCAACTCGTTGGTGTGGAGGTCACAAACAATCCAGACCAGCTTCCTCCCAATCTTCCGCTCTATCCACTGTATGACCCCCCCTTGCCACCCTGTGTTCGTGTTGGTGCTGTCCCCTCCAATGGCCTGCAGGGTCTGGTCTACGTTCCTCTCTCTTAGCCAGTTCACAATGTTATCTGCCACTATCTCAGCTGGTTTCCTGATGTCATCTTTCTCTGGAGTGAAATGCCACAAATCCTTCCCTCCTGGTTCACTGCAGCAGGAGTAGTGTTCCTCCTTCACCTTGGCAGGGAACAACTTGTCAGAATCTCCAACTTTCATGAACACTTTAGTGTCATCCCTTCTCCCATCAAAGAACAAACAATTGATTCCATTTTCTCTTATCCCCTTATCAAACTCCTCTTCTAGGTTACTGACAAGTTTCTCCTGAGCTCTCCTTACTTTGTTATGATCTATCACCAGGTGAACATCATCAGGTGTTATCAAACCACCGTCAATCCAGGCAGCTGTTGCTATCTCTGCAGTTTCTCTGAGACCAGTGTGGTGTCGCATGCTGGCCAGAGCTATGCTCGGGATATCTTTCCTATTTCGAATCTTATGCCTGGAAGGTTTGGGATCATTATTTTCTGGGTTAGGGACAAAGTCACCATTCTCCTGGTCAGCACTCGGATCAGCCATGGGGAAGTCATTAAACTCTGAATCAGCTTGACTCCAATCATCGGCCTTTTTTACCTCACCCTGAGCCTTCTCAAGTCTCTTTTTCTCGGCAACTCTTCTCCTCTTCTGTCTCTCTGTGGCAGCCTCCTGTCTCTTGGACTCCGGAATATCTTGGCTAGAAATCACTTGAGAGCCCCTATACCCAGTCTTCTCTCTCTGTTAGCGGCAATGCCAGTTCGTCCACAGGAATCTTCAGTTCACGCTTGCAAATACAGGAGATGTGGGCCTCGGATTTACAGTCACGATCGCATCCAAACTCAGGACAGAAACAATTGGGCACTTGCAAGTAATTATGTCAAATAACTGGTCAGTTGCTTGGCAAAGCTGTCCTTAACTGCAAGTTTTCCTCCCAAGAGAGAATATCTCTTGCCTTTTTAACACAGCTAGCAGTCTCTCATAATCTTCTTCTGACTTGTTATGACTGGAGGCTTGAATTTGAGCGTTAGCCAGGTGTATAATGCCAAGACAGCTTTGGTCATATCACTGGCAATGTCTTTGTTTGTGTAAGTTCTTTGGTTCTTTTCACTGATTTGCCTGAATAAAACACCGTATCTCAAAGCATATCTCAATGTAGGCAACTCCGACTTCAGGAGCTCTCTCCCAGACCCAAGATAGTGACTGAGATGGCTGGATTTTTGGTTCCTCGTCCTGACACAAGCAGCCATCGCAAATATTATCAACTTATAAATGCATCAGAATCTGAAACAGAAAAAAAATATTGTTAGTTGGGTTGTGAAAGAATGAAGTCAGAAAGCAATGTTCACTATTTAATTGTAATGCACTAATGCAGCTGTACGTTAGATTTTCGATAAATTTCACGCTAAAATTTACCTAGCAAAAAGGTTGCAAAATATTAGAGCTGAAATTGTTGTTTTATATACACTAAAATCTACCAAAAAGTGATGGGCCATTAGTTTTTACCTGATCTTCCCTCCTATGACACATACCCTATTACACAGTAATATGATACGGACTACTATATAATATATATATATATATATATATATATATATATATATATATATATATATATACTGTATATATATATATATATATATATATATATATATATATATATATATATATATATATATATATATATATATATATATATATATATATATATATGTGTGTGTATGTGTGTGTGTGTATGTGTGTGTGTGTGTGTGTGTGTGTGTGTGTGTGTGTGTGTGTGTAAGCGGTCGGAAATTCCTATTGGGGTTTATTTATATGGATTTATATATACCGAATCAGCACAAACCAAATTATTTAAGTATTTACCGTGACCTGGACTGGTGTTCCTGAGATTGGGGTTAAAGAGACGCACTGGTAATGATATGACCTCCCTCACAGCACTAAGAAAAATATATTAATTGCACCAGACAATTTAATTCATGTGTATTAATCCCTCAATACATCCTATATCACCATACACCACCATTAATAGCACAACAAAAGATATTACTTGCATAATAGAAAATAATACATGTGGACTAATCCCTCACAAAATAATATTAACCACTAGAAATATTATTTCTAAATTTGTTATACTGCACATGACTTAAAGATTGTAACTGGTCATAATGGCCTGACATCATCAGAGCCCAAATCAACATGCACATACAGGAAAACCTAAAGTTATTTGTTAACCGCGAAAATCACTCCTGACTCGCCAGGGGGCGACTCATCCGCTTATTCTTATTACTTTACTTTTGGGTTCATGAGTCATGTGTGCTTTTTCTACCATACCGGTAACTGTGCTCAACAACACTGGCCTAGAATACACCATTACCTCAAGTGGTACTACAGTATATGCAAAGCACCAAACAATTCTTTAAAAGGCACATTCCCACGTTTAGAGTGTAAGATCAACCATCAGGTCGTTGATCTCACACCAGGAATTCGTTAGACAAACACATACACTCATAGTTAAAGAGATGAAGGTACCTAGTATCCAGTAGCACCATGGGAATTTAGCACTCACTTACACCATGGGAATTTCTGGCTCCCAGAGTTTAACCCTTCATTTCACTCATTCTGCACCCAGGGCAAGCTCACTCTCCATTACTTTATAGGAGGGGGAGAGAGACAGTCGAATCCCGCCCAGCTAAGTCAGGTCTCAGTACAAACATGTGTACCTTGCCCCAGTTAGAAGAGCAATCTAGTTTTTCTTCCTAATAAGGTCTCTTAGCTGTGGTGTTGTGTTGCCCCCTCTGTCTATCCTCGGAGATCCGGGTGAAATCAGACCTCGTGGACTTATCATCCCTACGCTCACAACATTCCCGTCAACCCGCTCGTCCTCGTCGTCAGGTTAGGTGGCGACTCGCCGCCAACAATCGGAGGTTTTATTAACTACTGCTAAATTCTTCCCCGCCCTATCTAAACTATGACTGCAATCGATCTGGCCTTCCTTGTGAACACGGTTGAAGGCGCCTACAAGATAAGGAGGCCACATGGACGATTCTGTCGACGAGCAGGGTATGACCAGTCTGCTTGCCACAGTGACCAGTATAGAATGACCCATGTCCGTCTTCAACATGCCTACATCTTTGAGGGACTTATTTATTTTAAAATCTTAAAATATTCCCTGATTATCCTGTATTTCTTTTGAGGGAAAGACTGGCACTATTTTAATATTTATTTACGTTATTTTATTTCGGGCGCGACTGTCCTCTACGGTTTCCCGATAATTATGTAATTAATTCGTGACCGCATGACACCAAGCACTCTCGTATTTTAATTATTTCCTAAGGACACAACACCAAGCAGTCTCATATTTTAATTATTTCCTAAGGACACACATAACATATTTTGAACTGGAAAACAATCCAAGATAACCTTTGTTAATATTATAGCTGTCTTTTAACTTCGTCACAAGTGAATGCATTAATTTGATAA